GCATTTAAATGGTCATTGGATAAACATATGGATGATAATGGAATAGTTTAGGTGAGATGGGCTTCAGATTGGTTTCACAGGTCGGCGCAACATCGAGGGTCGAAGGGCCTGTACTGCGCTGTAATGTTCTATGTTCTATGCTCATTCCACTCCCGTACATCTCAGTTGTCCTTGTTTTTCAAGGACCGCAACTTCCCCTGCCTCAGTGGTCGAGAATGCCCTCAACCGTGTCTCCCACATTTCTCGCAACTCATCCCTCACACCCTGTTCCCGCAATAAGAACCAAAGAAGAATCCCCCTCGTCCTCACGTACCACCCCACCAACCTACGGATCCAACGCATCATCCTCCGACACTTCCGCCATCTGCAATCCGACCCCACCACCAAAGACATCTTTCCCTCCCCACCCTTATCTGCCTTCCGGAGGGACCACTCTCTCTGTGACTCCCTTGTCTGCTCCACACTCCCCTCCAGCCCCACCACACCCAGCACTTTTCCCTGCAACCGCAGGAAGTGCTACCCCTGCCTCTATACCTCCTCCCTCACCCCCATCCCAGGTCCCAAGAAGACTTTCCACATCAAGCAGATGTTCACCTGCACATCTGCCAATGTGGTATACTGCATCCGCTGTACCCGTTGTGGCCTCCTCTACATCGGGGAAACCAAGCGGAGGCTCGGGGACCGCTTTGCAGAACACCTACGCTCGGTTCGCAATAAACAACTGCACCTCCCAGTCGCGAACCATTTCAACTCCCCCTCCCATTCCTCAGACGACATGTCCATCCTGGGCCTCCTGCAGTGCCACAACGATGCCACCCAAAGGTTGCAGGAACAGCAACTCATATTCCGCTTGGGAACCCTGCAGCCGAATGGTATCAATGTGGATTTCACAAGCTTCAAAATCTCCCCTCCCCCTACCGCATCCCAAAACCAGCCCAGCTCGTCCTCGCCTCCCTAACCTGTTCTTCCTCCCACCTCAAGCCGCACCCCCATCTCCTACCTACAAACCTCATCCCGCCCCCTTGACCTGTCCGTCCTCCCTGGACTGACCTATCCCCTCCCTAACTCCCCACCTACACTCACCTTTACTGGCTCCATCCCCGCCTCTTCGACCTGTCTGTTTCCTCTCCACCTATCCTCTCCTCTATCCATCTTCCATCCGCCTCCCCCTCTCTATTTATTTCAGAACCCCCTTCCCCTCCCCCACTTCTGATGAAGGGTCTAGGCCCGAAACGTCAGCCTTTCTGCTCCTATGATGCTGCTTGGCCTGTGTTCATCCAGCTCTGCACCTTGTTGTCTCTCCTGCCTTAGGTCATGCTTGTCAAGAATGACAATTGCATCTTCGTTGAATAGCCTGAGGTCACTGCTCAGAACAGGTTCTTCCAGAGCTTGATCAACAGTTATAAAAACAGGATGACAGATGAACAAAATTACAGTGAGGCACATTTCTGGCTTGCGTTCTTGAGAACCTCTGATGCGACATGGAGTCCAGTTCTCACATAGTTACATCAGAAATTACATGACATTATTTTCAAAATCATCACAATCAACACATCTTTATAAAATGGCCCATCTTTCCCCAAAGTCCAATCATCACTTCACAGATCATGAAGCAGTTCACCTTGCACAACGCAAGACCTGGGCAACATCCAAATTTGGGCTGAAAAGCGATCAATGATATTCAAATCAAACAAATGCCAGGCAGTAAATAAGAATCAGAAAATTGCTCATCATTGGCAACGTCACTGAATTCCCACTGAAGGTCACTGCAAACCAGAAAATTAACTGGACCAGTCTCAATTACTAGAAAGACTCTGGGAGTCAGAATATGGCAATCAGGCATATTTCTGGAATGTGATAGTACAGTCTCCACATTTTGGAAAAGTAGAGTTGCAACACAAGCTTGATGCTGTCAAGGGCAAAACAAAGAATCTGTTTCTCATCCCCAACAGATCCCTGGATGGGTGTTGTTCCAACCTTTCCACCGCTTTCTCCATAAAATTTGCTTTCAATATTACTTCATTTTACTTTATGTCCATTTTTATCTGATTACGCCACTTTGCAGTACTCTCATGAACCTCTCGGACAATGAGCAGGAAGAAACCATTTACCCACTTGAGCCTCTTTGCTATTATACTAAATCATGACCAATCTCTCAAATCTCGCAGCCTCAGATTTGAAAACCATTGGTGATCTTGTCTAATAAAAATCTGAGATTTTAAAAATGCTTCCAAATGTCAACAGCTTTTTGATGGCAAAAGCCTCAGACTCAATATCTTTCGCAAAAACAATTCAATTCTGACACCATTCTTAAAGTCCTAACTTTAATTTTAATGGATACTACCCAATCCCTTAATCTTACAATTTGCAACCTTGTCTTTAAATCCATCTATGGTCTGACTTCACCTAACTTTAATCTTCTATAGCCTTAAAACCAAATATCTGTTCTCCTCCAATTCTAGCCTCTTGTCCACCACTTTTTTGTTTTTAAGAACTGCTCTTGCACTGGCACCCTTAAGTGTAGCAACTGCAAGAGTCAGGGGTGGTGGGGCTGAGATACTAGGTGCTTGTTAGAGCAGGAATATAGATATTATTGCCAATACCTTAAGATCTGGAATTACCTTCCTAAATTACCCCACTTCTTTCCTCCTTTAAGTCACTTAAAAGCTTAGTTGACAGTGCTTTTCAATATTTGTCTCAATATCATGTGGCTCTGCCAAGTTTTATTTGTTAATTGCTCATAAACCATCTTTGGACATCACTGCAAGAAAAGTGTTATATAAACACAAGCTGTTGTTGCAGTTCCAATGTGCCACATTGTTCCTTCTAGGGGAAACCCAGAACAGTTTGTGTCCCAAACTGTTTTCCACTGTGATCTTGAAAATTGTCATGTCAACTCATTCACGGATAGGGTGAGGAGGGGCTGAAAGAAAGAGGGCTTGTTAAAGCAGGAGTACAGATTTTAATCTGTCAGAGCTCCCTCACAGCCATTGCTGTCTCAGCCCATAGAATCCCAAAATTTCAGTTTACAGCACCATTTCAAGTGCTGAAAAAGATTCTATTTACCCACTCATGTCTATTAAAAATGCAATTAGATCACCTCATGACATTCTTTGCAATGTTAATAGTTAGATAATTGTTCAGCTTTGAGAGCAGACCAGCTGCCACTAAGGACTAATGCCATAACTCCTTCAGCAGGTCTCATAGGAGGGAGAGAATGAGAAAAGTCTAAAAATATAGTTGCAGCTGTCATTAATGCAGAGTGAGCACATCTTGTAAGCTTTTCTTGCTGGAACACTTCTCAAACTGTAACGCTTTTGGCTGTACTCAACTTCCTGCTATCTCCAGTGAGGCATTTGAATATTACCATTTCAGGTAAAAACATTGCATTTAGCAGAAACCAACTTCCTTTTGCTCACTGGTGCAACTAGTCACAAAAGCATCTGCATTACTTGACTGCAATTCACAGCACGCACAGTACAAAAACCCAAACCAACAACTGTCAAAATGAATAATGAAATGATGCAGCATAGGAGATGTCCATTTGGCCCATCGTAATTGCACTGGCTCTATGAATGAGCTTTTAAATGAGTTAATTTCCAGTTTCCTTCCCCACAACTCTGGAAAAAAAAGATTATCTGGAAAAGTTTCGCCTTCATGATTGTTTCAAAACCCTTCATGATCGAATGCATCTATAAACTGGGTAAACAATTACAAGTTGGAGAAAGTTACTGAGGAATAATGGAAGTTCAGATTAGTATGTCAACAACAACTCAGTAGCCAATATCTGGAAGAGTC